CCCCAAAACCCCAAAACCCCATATGATAAAATGTGAAGATAATTTTAGGTATCATTAATTGAGATTTGAGTTTAAATTTAAAAGCTTTTAATAAGAATAATTTGATTAAAGAAGTCTTTAGTGAAAATTAGCAGCAGGAGAAATGAGTACAAAAAAAGAAGATAACAAATTATCGTCTAAGAATTAGAAAGACCCATAATAGGACTTAAGTAAACCAATAAAAGCTAAAATACCTTTGATAAATGTATGTGAGGACTATGATCTCGTTAGGTGACTTAATGTAGTAGTACTAAGAATTTACAATGAAGCTAGGTTGTTAGATTCTTATTCGAATGAGTTCAAAGTTATATCATCAATATTGACCTTTGAATTCAGATAATACTTGATCTCCAAGAAACCTAAAAATTTGAATGAGCTCTATGATATTTTTGAGAAGAATTTCGTAGAGGATATGCAAGATAATTAAAAGAGCACACTCGCTTAACAGTAAGAACAAAACATGGTAATATTTATGGCTAAGTATGGGAAGTATATTGTTGATGAAATGAACCATTATCATGAATAGGAAAAGATTTTTTCAAAATTAAACCTAGGTGAATCAGTTAAAAAATCAAAATAGTTTATTGACTCGAAAACTACATCTACAACAAAAAATTCTGCAGAAAAAAGATAGAAAGCTTCAATTAAGGCTTCTAGGAATAAAAAAAATTAGTCCAAATAAAAGCCTGAATAAAAGGAAGTAGAAGTAATTACAATAGAAGACTAAGAAGAGTAAGAATATGATTCAAAAGATGATTCAGAAGAGGCTGAAGAGGAGGATAATGAAATAGAATCATTAGAAGACAACAAAATCTAACTATAAGAAAATGAATATGAATTTGAAGAGGATGAATTGGCTGCATTTATAGATGAAGACAAACTAAGTAATAGCATAAATGAAGAGAATGTATATGAGGAGGGGCATTTATTTTAGAACAATGATGCAGCTGAAAGTACCTATATAATTGAGGATATCCCTACTCAATAATTGGGAACTTAATAATTAGCCTTTGGACAAGTTTCTTAACAATAATCGATTTTAAATAACAATTTTTAGATAGTACAAGA